ATGGGGAGTAAAATCAAAAACAAAGAGTTTGCTTGTTCTAAAAGTTGGGAAGAGCGTTTCAAGAAGAGGCATAATATCAGTAGCGGAAAAATTGTTAGAGAGTCTGCCGGAGAAAAATTCTTCTTATGAAAACGTTAGAGGCGATCGATAAAAATGAAACATTTTCTATAAATCTCTTAGATGCAGTCAAATTCTTTCATACAGCTTGGCAAAAAGTTAGCTGAAAAACCATTGCGAATTGCTTTAAGCATGAGGGATTTGTAAGAAAAGAAAATGATTATGAACCAGACGATAAAATTCCACTTAACGAATGGTTAGAAAAGTATAAAGACTCTGACTATTTCTGAAATGACAAAAAAAGTGTCAGAAACTCGGAATTTTCTACAATCACGCCAAGTTCCTAATCATATCTGGGAGTCCTTTTGTGATCTTGAAAACTACATAAATAACATCTATTTTTGCAACAGAAATGTGCAAACAAAAATTACAGACTTTATGAAGTAGATTTCAAATTGAATTTTGTGTATCTTTTTGTGTTCTATTTAGTCATACCTACTAACTTCTACTACTCTATGTAAAAATAACGAAATAAAATACACCACGTGTTTTTGTATTATTATTCGCTTATAGCGAACTCTGGATATAACGAACCAGTTTTAGTTCATTTTTCAAGTTCGTTATATCGGGACTTAACTGTATTTTCAAAAGAGCTCCAATAATTTTTACAATTTTTGCATGCAATTTAAAGCAATTTTTCAGACTAAATTTTTCAAAATCTGTTCAAGATTTCCTTAAACTATTCTTAACTGATCCTGCGAGTTTTAGCTGATGTTGAAGCATTTGAAGTTACGAACTGTTTATTGCTCATGAGTGAGTGGAGATGAGTGAAACCAGTTTGTATTGAAAATACGCTGGATGTTTGAAATTGCTTTAAATTCAAAAGGTTTTGAAGTTGGAAACTTGACAATTATTAGAAAAAAAACTAATTTATTTGTGGTTTTAACGAAAAACGAATTAAATTGTTATTAAAACCTGCAGTTTTTGCATTTTATTTAAAGAGAAGTATTCCACATGTAATGACTACTTTTGCAAGCTTAATTTTTGTTGAATTAGAGTACCTAAATTAGTTTGAAGTAAAACCACTTAAATATGTTTGTGGTTTAAAGCATTTTCACGAAATAAATCTCAATTCCACCTTGTTAACGCGTATGTGCAATTTATGCCAAATAAGTGTGGGATCGAAAAATCCTGAGTCAAAAACGGCAGTTTCTTAGTGATTGTAGAACTTTTTCATACTTTCGCAGATCAGTGAGATTTCTGGCCCAATTTTTGCCAGGTTTAGTGAAAATTTGCGCAAATATCAGAACGGGTAGGTTAATGACTTAAAGAAACGCCCAGGAAGAATCGAAGCACCGAAATAGTTTCAGAATCAAGATGGTTTTTTTCATTAAAACAATTTTTCAGGCGTTTAAACCGTCGTGGAAAATAATTTATTTGGAAATATTTAGCTGGTTTGCTTGACGCTGCACTTGCACCCTAAAGATGCCACTCGTGCAGGAAAAACTCCCGCAAAACTCAACAGTTTTTTTGGTTTTTTTTCTCATTGCTAAAGCGCTGCGTTTGCTGTTACGTTTGGGTTTTCCCAGCCGGAATTTTCAGTTTCCGCTAGTTAAATACGCATTTCGAGTGATCGAAAAATGCATTCAGAATGCAAGGAATTCACTAACAGTAAACTGTGTTACTGTTGACCACAAATTACGTAAAAGGCGTCATTTATTTTCTGTTTCGACATGCTGTTATTTAAAAATCGGCGATTTTACGTGACCCGAGCGAAATTAATTAATGAATTTAGCAGCTAATCGACTGGGTTTTGTTGCTTCACTGCATCTTTCCTCACTAAAGATAAGTCGAACCCCATTTGCTTGACTAGTTAAGACATCGTGAATCAAATAGCAAAATCCCGCCCAAAGCTGTTGGCGACATTAACTGGGAAAAAATGTGGCAACTTTTCACTTACCGATGAGTGTTCGTCGCACCCCAAAATCGAGTAATAATCCTCCCTGTCCTTCCTCTTGTAATCCAAAATTTCGGCAACGCTCGTCATCGTCGTCGGCCACTCAAACCCTCAAAATCGCTGTGATGTGGAGACCGAATTCACCACCTGTTTCACTCAAACACTCCCGAAGATATGATCCAGGGCTTGTTCCAGAGAATCGGGATCGGCCAGCACCAACAAAGACGGAAAATCGACAATCCTGTCTGGGGCGTTCGGCTCTTTTACGCGATTCTATAGATGGAAAACTAGACGGATTTTGCACAGACTGAAGCCACAACGCAGTGTAACAGCAAGGTGAAAGTCTTTTAACATTGGGAAACCCCATAAAACAATCGTATTATATAAAATTCCAATTAATGCGCGTTTTTTTTCAAGTCGGTGCGGTTGCGCTGTTGAAACGAGACTTAATCAATGTACGAACGATCTCTGGCTAAAACTGGGCAATACGAAATATCCAGGATTATTATTTTTAACATTATCGTTTGTTTATGGCACGATTAAGACGTTAGTTATTATCAACAGTTCGGAAGCCGGTTACTATTTTCAGCTTGTGAAAGCATTTATATTTATAGTTAATAAGCAGGATTGTTGATAAATGCCCCCCAAAGCGCGGGTTCTTGATGAAAAAGAACCGACATTTAATTATAAACAGCGATTAGCTGATAAAAACATTTTTTTGGTTTTGTTCCGTTTTAGTCAGGACTTTTTGTGAAAAATTATTATTACTTCTCATGGATCAATTGCTACAAAAAATATACAACTCAGCGCCTTCTATGCGCGGGCTTACAGCGAGACAGTGCAGAAACACCGTAAAAATAAATTTTAACTCAAAAACTGAAAGAGTTAGGAAGTTGAAATTTTGTCAGGAAGTTACCTTCCAATAAACGAAGAAACATACAGAATTTCAGCCGTGTAGCTCGGTGCGATTATGGTTAAATTTGGAGTTTTAAGGGACAGACAAACAGATATACATTCATTATTATATATACAGTAAAGTCCGCTTATAATGAACGCGGTTATAGTGAACTTTCGGTTAAAACGAACTTTTTTCCTTTAATTGAAACGTCGTCCATAAAGACCAACGTGTTTTTTTACTCGTGCGGAGTCGTTTATATTAGTGAGAGCGAGTCAGGCAGTGACTTGTTTTTTGTCGCGATATGTATGTAAATCGTTTTAGAATGGAAAAACAAAAACGCAAAGCTTTTTCACTAAATGAAAAATACGAGATTATTAACAAAATAAAAAGTGGAGTAAAGCAGAGTGACATTCTAAGGAATTAGCACTTGGAAAGTCTACTGTTGCAACAATAAGGAAAAACAGAGAAAACATTTTATCAGCGTATGACAAAACAAATGTTAGATGTATAAAGTTAAAATTATCTGCACATGAAAAGGATCATAAGGGACTTATTAAGTGGTTTACCCAAAAAAGACAAGAAAACGTTCCCATAAGTGACAGTGTTTTGCAAGAAAATGCTAGTGAAATTGGCAGTAAAATCAAAAACAAAGAGTTTGCTTGTTCTAAAAGTTTGGAAGAGCGTTTCAAGAAGAGGCATAATATCAGTAGGGGAAAAATTGTTGGAGAGTCTGCCGGTGAAAAATTCTTCTTATGAAAACGTTA